GCGCTCGGGGTGCGGCAGGTGCGCGCGGTGCGCGCGGCGGCGCGCAGGTGGATCACGCTCCTCGCGCGGACGCTCGAGGCGCGGGATGCGCACGGCGCGGCGCGGCTCGAGCAGCTGGAGTGGGGCGAGGGGGTGTGGGACGAGGAGGGGATGAGGACGGGGACGACCGTGCTGCAGGCGGCTTGGGGGAACGCGGTATGTATGCCTGATATGTCGGAAATTGGTTCGTCGCGGCTGAGCGAACTGGTGGATGGTCCGGTCGTGTGTTTGGGCATGCTCTGTGACGTGCCACTGGATCCAGAGGGTTAACTAGGAGTCTTATACGCAGAATGCCAGAACTTGGTCTGGGCGATCGAGGTATAATATCAAAACGTGGTTCTATTAGTAGCATGTGCAGTCGCGCATTCATTCTACCTCTAGGACTGCTGCTTGCACGACGAGGTACGATGCACAGAACAACTGTACTGGTTGCATTTCCTGATCACCTCTCGTATCTAGCCATGACAACGGACATGCAGCCATTTCCCGCCTTCGCGGACACCGTCTCTGCCTCCGATCGCACAAACCATGTCGCTCTACCTGCTTTTTGCACAGGAATTGGCCCTCAAACGAGCAGGCGAATACCTCCGGTAAAACGGGTCGTCCAGTTTACATCGCCGGACCTCTGCTCCCCACCGCGTCCAAGGCGACTGCAGCGGCCAACGGTGCCAATGTACGTCCCCCCATCATGCTCGTTCGGATGCGCATCTCATACTAGTATCCCAGGATCATGTGGCCCTTCAATGCCAATCAGCCGTCGAACACCGTCTTGGTCACCGACGTCCATAAGATTGGCTACGAGCTCCTGGAGGTCCGGACAGGCCATGGCCTCAAAGATCTACCGCACGGGCGACACCCTGGCCGGCACTGTCGACGGCCGTCGAGGCCGAGGCGCGTCTGGTTCTGACACAAGCATTCGGGAAGAACGGAAAGGAGAAACGCGCGCGACTCGCGACGATCAAGGAGGCATTGCTCGGGGAATAATAGGACTCAGGACGAGCGATCGCGGCGAGATGTGCATGCTCACATTTGTGGAGAGCCTGCAGAGAGTGAGTCAGACTGCCTGGATGAAACCATGGGACTAGTTATATGCTACGTGGTACGACATAGATGTGTCGCGCAAGAGCCCACATTTGTACGTCTGCCTCCAATCGGATATGAATGTCCAGCAACCTGGGGTCTTTCAACCAGGACAGAAGTCAATGAGGCGATTCTTGCAAAGGGATTTTCCGGACATCAACATACGTGACCAGATACTACAGCGTTTCTGATACTGCCGTATGCCTGATACGGGAACACCCAGGTCCCCCAGGGGAAAATGAGAAAGAAAAAAGACTTTCATAAGTCACGATCGTGCATCCGCCGGGAGTCGAACCCGGAGCTAGGCCATGGGAAGACCCAATGTTACCGCTACACCACGAATGCATACCTTGGCGCATAGCCATGTTACTGTCACTCCAACGTCGGCTTTTCATACGTTCAATGCATCTGGTCCGTACTTAGCAATATCGGCCGAGACTGTGGGGCTTGTGCAATGTGGTATGAGTCTACATATGATTTTCCTTGGCCCATACGACCCAGTTGTGGTCTCAGTTTCCCACAGCGTACCGGATTCTGGTGTAGTCCTGTAATATCTATCGCCCGGTGCATTGTAGACACCACTGCCCACTATGCTGATTCTGAACGTCGTTCGTAGTACAGTGAGCTACTTATCTTCTACTTATGACCTCTCCAGCTGTGGTAAGGAAACCCTGGATGGAATGGGCCCGCCTGCACACCGCCGAGACTAGCCAGGCCGAGTATCTGTGCCTCCACGGTTTATTAGACATGCCAAGATCCGTGAGCCGAGAGATGCGTGAGCACCCTCGATGCGGCCCCGCAGCCTCATTCTGTCCGCCTGCCCAACGGGCCGCGTCGTGGGCCGCGCCTCCGCGGATTCAGACCCGAAACAACCAGGCTCTCCTGTGTCCACGCCGCCGGAGAAAGAGTTTCGTAGGATCGGAATCAGAGTCGTCAGCGTGGATGTCCAACCCGTCTTCCTTTGTTTTGGCCGTGGCTTGTGCTTGGGTGCTGCGGTATTTTTCGCGGCTGCGGCCGTCAGAGAAGGACGTCTGGAGTTTGGACCGAAAACATGACAGTGACGCGCGCATGGGAAAGGGCGGAGAGGGCAGTGATCGACTGAGGTTCGAGGTTAGGAGATCGACGATCACCTGCGAAAGACATCTCAAAATCGGGCCGCTTGAGCTGAAGCAGGTCCAGGCATTGGCGCAGTGCGGTGATCGAGAACAGGGTTGGTCCAAAAGAAGGATGTGCGCAGCGTCAGAAGGCGGGGACGACCCTCCGTTGGCTGCCGCGCCGATCGACTCGTGTAACCAGTAATTGTATTCGGAGTTGCTGTTGAGTCGATTGAGCCCGTCGAGACAAACCGACGTAAACGCTTGGGAGGGTGCAATGGTTGAGGGAAGAGGCAAGAGGTAAACTGATATGTACAAGCGCCGACCCGTTTGTCTCACAGTTGCGCTCCCAGTCTCCCTTCTCCTCAAGCACTCCCTGGCATCATCCTCGTCCATAACGTCCCTTCTCTGTTCGGACCCGCTTCTCTAGTTCTAGCAACTCTTGGCAGCTACGTACATAAGATCCCGCGGGCTTCAAAGTACATATACACAAGATTTGGCATCGCGTACGGATGCGCGCCGAAGGCGTGACGGTCGCCTCGCACTTGTCCTTACGGAAATATTTCAAGACTCTTATGGCAACTGCTGCTCTGCCGAACGAGGCCGGTTAGATCATGGAAGGTACGTTCACACCCTCTTTCTCGTCTTTGTGCGTTCCCCGACGTCCAAGTGTGCGTTGTTTCTCCCGGTGCGTGGGCTCCGGCTCTCGGGCCCCTTGGCAGTGTCCTGGACAAACTCGCGCGCTTGACCAAGAGGCGTTTCTCAACTTGTACTCTTTCAACGGGCTGAAGATGGACCTAGGCTGTGCGCGTACGAGTCGCGCCTGAGAAATACTCGACCTCCCCAAACAAGCACTGTTCCTGGTAGTCCGCCCATCCACTGTATTCAAACCTGCGTCTCAAGTTCAATAGAAAGCGCGAAACGTCAAGTGCCCCCCCCCCCCCCGCCCTTCAGCTTCAAGCCTCATCGCCCGTCCATTTCTGACCCGGAGTCTCCAAACGCGCTGAGAAGCATGTCGGATGTCCTCCGCCAATCGTGCGGAGCCGCCAACTTGAAAGCCGAACGTCGACGTGGAGGTCACATCCAGCGGCTGCAGGACCGGGACCAGGTGGAAGGCGAGGGAGAAGGGCCCGCAAAAGCGGAACACGTCGGCAGGTGCGTGTATCACGCACGACGTTCGTGTTCTCTCACTGACGGAGGTGGATGTGCAGCGGATAGACGTCACTTGGAAATGCACCGACGGAACCATGGCTTAGTATTGTTTGTACAGCGGCATGATGCTCATTAGGTGTTTTCTCGTCGTTCCGTCAATACACGAAGAATATACTTTCCTTTCTTTCACTTTAGACCTCGCGTCGCGCGCCTCGGAAGATGGCTGTCCCTTGCATGCAGTCATACATTCCGCCGCGGTGACCACAATTGATGCAATAGTTTTCACAAAAAACCCTGTTTCACATCCGCTGAGCCACCCAAACGCAATCTATTCCGACGGAGCCTGGTATGTAATCCCGCCAAAGACGACCTCGCCGTCGACCCACTGCTCCAACCCCGCCTGATTGTACAGCGCCGGGTTCGGGAAGTCCGTGAAGACAACCGCTGACGGAAGGAAATCGAGTCTAAGGTTCATATCCCACTCCCATCCCTTCCACTCGAGATACTTCAGACGATACTCTGCCGCCGCTCGTTGACTGAGCATCTTCTCGAGGTCTGAGCTCCACGACGTCAGGCTTCCCGCAAGCTTCTCTTCCCACTCCGCCGGACCGGTAGTCATCATCTTCCCCACATCTCCCCGCACTTGCAGCGGCAGAGGAAAGGTCACGACGAGAGTCTCTAGGCGAGGACATGTGAGCTCAAAAGACCGTCGGCCGTCCTCTGATCGAAGTGCTTCCAGGGTCGATGCGGCGGATGGGCCGGCGACGTCGAGAGAGACGAGGTGCGGGAACGCGTGGAGAACGAATTTGTCGTCATCCCAGTCTACGATTGGCCATGTCTGCCGGAGGACGAGGTGGGTGATCACGGTGCCATTGGCATGGCGGAACATGAATATGACCTCGGGGGCATTTATATTTGCGCGTACGTTGGATGAAGATCGCAGCGTGAAACGAACCTGCGGCACGCCCTTCGCGAGCGTGACGATCTCGGTGAGCGGGCGCATCGCCTCTTCCTGGTACGAGTCGTAGATGTGCACAGCGTCGACGGTTTTCATCCACTCCGCGAGGTGTACCGAGTTGGACACCCCCAGCGGGGGGAATCATCCACTACGACCTGAGTGTGTGGGGGAAGTGGGAGGGGGAAAAGGGAGGAATAGATGGCCATCTTTTGATGTGTTTGGACGGTGAAGACCAGCGATTGCAGAGCGGGGAGGTCGACCGTCCCGGCGTCTTGCCAAACTGACGGAGAGAAGCCGGGAAAGAAAGTGTCGACGATGTCCACGCTACCTTCGTCTTCCTCGTCCTCGTCCTCGTCCTCGCCGTCGGTACGTTCGCCATTCAAGCACCACGTCAGGTGGGTCAGATTCGGGCACTGCCTCAGCGCATGAGCCAACGCTACGACGTGGTCATTGGTCGATCGTGAAGGGGTCAAGCACAGCTCGCGCAGCGCGGGACAGGCGAAGTGCGGGAAGATGTCGACGGGGATGCAGCGGAGGTTGCGAAGGCGCGGTGCGCCTGTGATGTACCAGCCTTCATCTTTCCATGCGCAGAGGTCTTTTACGACGGTCCGGTGTGTGTCTGCGTCAATGTTTGCATTGGTCCAGTCCTCGTATTTCCCAACACGTCCAACGAACGCGATCCCGAGTGCTTCAAGCCTGGGTGTGCCTTGGTCTAGAATCTTGCACAAAGCGGCCAGCTGCCCGCCGCCGGTGAGGTGGACGTACAGATCGACAAGTCGAGCAGCATGCAGAGAAAGCGCGTCGACCGCAGCCTTCATGAGAAGATTGATCTTGACGCGGATAGGTTCGGGTGAAGACAATTGAAAGACGGACGCTGCAAATGCGCCGCGCGCGCTGAAGAGGAGCCCAGGGTTTCTTGAGTCGGGGTCTGGGATGGCTGCCTGCCACAGCTTCGGCGTCTTGAGCGCAACCGCGCGCCAGTGACGACAGACATGAAGGAGACCGATGCTGCGCGTGTCTTTCCAGCAGTGGGAGAGAACCTCGGAGAGAATTTCGTTCGGGAAGGTGCGGTGGATGGGCGCGACGGAATTGTAGATCGAGAGGAGAGCCGCCGCGATGCATCGATATTCTTCAGCGCGAGCGACGACCTGTGCGCGGACGGCGACATCCGACAGGCCACGCAATGATTCCAGGTCGACGGTGGGAACGGTGTCTGCGAAGGAAGAGAAGGGAAGGGTATCGACGACGGCGTTCATGATGATCTGTTGATAATGTCAAAACGCGGTTGCAGCATTCCTTGCATTGGCTGGAGCTCACCAGAGTTCCGACACTCTCCGCTTGATTCAATGACTGTTATGGGGGGTAGACGAGGGTTGTATCGCAGGGTCCTCTCGGCGTATGTAATAGTGGTGGACAACTTGAAGCCCGCGTCGCCTCGCCTTCAGCCGCGCTCGTCGCACGTCTTTCCCACGACCGCGCAGTTCGAACCAGCTCGAGTCTCCAAGCGCCAACGCGAGTCACGATTGACTCACAGGCGCGGGCCGTCACAACTTTCGCCCTCTTCCCACCAACGCTCAAGCAGAACCGGGCAAAGTGCGAGGGCAGTATGCTTCAAGGTACTGGCTCTTTCAGTTCCGCAACCGCCTTCGTCGCTCCGCTATCGAGTGACTCGCCTGGCGACGACCATCGCCTCGAGTCTCGACTCCTTCTATGATGTGCAGTAGGTATACTTCGATGGACCAAAAACCCGGTACGTCTCGCTATGTATCGCATTACTTGAATAGCGGTATAATGGCTGTGTCAGGTACTTGTGCGATGCGTGGTCTATTCCACGACTTCTTGGACTGTAACCCCGCCAAAGACCACCGGACCGTCAACCAAGCCTTCCAGCGTTGTCTTGCTATACAGCGTCCCGCTTAGCGTTCCCGTGCGGACAACCGCCGACGGAGGGAACTCAAGCCTGAGGGTCTTATCCCATTCCCACATTTTCCATTCCAGCCGTTGCAGACGGAAGCCCGCCTCCGCCCGTCGACTCAGCGCACTCTCGAGCGCTGAACACCCTGCCTTCAAGCGTACCACCAGCGTCTCCTCCATTTCGGCAGGATTGGTCATCATCAACCTGTATACGCTTCCGCGCTCCCCGATTTCTAGCGCGAAGGTGACAACGAGCGTCCTGAGGCGCGGACACATCAGTACCTCAGGGGTGCGACTGTCGCACGGCTTTTGCAACGCAGTCAGAGCCGATGCGACACAGGGGCCGGCGACGTCGAGGGAGTCGAGGTGTGGGAACGCGTTGAGAAAGAAATCCTCGCCGATGCTGCACTCGATGGGCCAGTTCTGCTGCAGGACAAGGCGGGTGATGCCGATGCCGGGGTCGCGGAATATCTTAGTGAAGTGGAAGGGGAGCGCCTGCCGCTCCCATTTTGACGTCTGGAGCGTGAATCGGACCAGTGGCACACTGTTATTGAGCGTGACGAGTTCGATGAACGGCTCAGCTTTCTCCGTACTGTAGGAGTCGCGGATGTGGAGGGCGTCGGCGGATGCGATCCACGGTGTGAGCGGCGCTGGGTCGTAGAAGAGCCCGGGGGACCGTTTGGCGTTCGCCACGACCTCAATATGTGGGAGAAGTGGGAGGGAGAAAAGGGATACATAAACGGCCATCATTGGATGTGTTTCGATTTCGAAGACCAGCGATTGCAGAGCGGGTAGGTCGACCGTCCCGGCGTCTTGCCAAACTGACCGAGACCAGAGGGGAGCAAAAAAGTTGATGATATCCACGCTACGCTCATTTCCGCCGCCGCCGCCACCCTCGTTCTCGTCGTCGTCGTCATCGTTCTCGTCATCGTTCTCGCCGTCGGTGTCGTCAGTGTGTTCGCCATTCATGCACCACATCAGGTGTGTCAGGTCCGGGCACCGCCTCAGCGCATCGGCCAACGCCACGACGTGGTCCTTGGTACATCTTGCGGGGGTCAAGCACAGTTCGCGCAGCGTAGGACAGATGAAGTGCGGGAAGATGTCGACGGGGATGCAGCGGAGGTTGCGAAGGCGCGGTGCGCCTGTGATGTACCAGCCTTCATCTTTCCATGCGCAGAGGCCGGATTGGATGGCGTAGTGCGTCTTCCAGTCAATGTCGGCGTCGTCCCAGTCAGGGTACTTCCCGGTGCATCCCACGAACGCGATCCCGAGCGTCTCAAGGTTCGGCACGCCCGTGTCCACGATCTGACAGAGCTCCTTCAACTGCGCCGCGCCGTTCAGATGGACGTATAGGTCGAAGAGTCTGGCGGCGTGCGGCGCAAGTGTGCACGCCGCAACCCTAGGGAGTAGGTCCACCTTGAGGTGGATAGGCAAGGGCTTCGACCGCTGGAACATGAACGTTGCGAAATCCCCACGCGTCTTCATGCGCCGCTCAGCGCAGCCGAAGGAGAGCGGTTCGTCCGAGTCGGGGTCTGGGATGGCTGCCTGCCACAGCTTCGGCGTCTTGAGCACGATCGCGCGCCAGTGACGACAGACGTGAAGAAGGTGGACGCTGCGCGTGTTCTTCCAGCAGTGCGAGAGGACCTCGGAGAGTATTTCGTTAGGGAAGGTGCGGTGGATGGGCGCGATGGAGTTGTAGATCGAGAGGAGAGCCAGCGCGATGCGTCGGTATTCTTCAGCGCGGGCGACGACCCATGCGCGGACGGCGACATCCGACAGGCCACGCAATGACTCCCGGTCGACGGCGGGAACGGTTTCTGCGAAGGCAGGGAAGGGAAGGGTATCGACGACGGCAGTCATGATAATCTAGTGATCATGTTAAAACGCGCTTGCAGTATTCCTCGCTCTGTCCAGAGTAACTCACCAGTCTCTACGCTTGACCCAATGGTTGTTATGGAGAGGACAGTGCGGGCCTTCGAGTATCTTAGGTGCTTTCTCGGCGTCTGTAGTATCGGCGGACAATCGACAACAAGCTCGCCGCAAGCTTCACGATATCGACTCATCGCTGTTTTCCCACGACCCCGGCCCGGCATAAAGTTATTCGATTCCTAATGTCTCCTCCGCAATATTCAACGCTTGCCTAATGCCCAGAGCAATGCGCACGAGATTCCTGAAAACGAGGATGCAAATATTCTTCGAGAAAACCTACTAGAAAAATGTGCCTCCTTCGCAGACGACTCCTGACACGCGGAGACGCTTTGTTGAGAAGTTGGCCGGTTCCTTGCGCATGTCATCGGAATCCCTTGGATCAGGGATTTCCCATATGACGGCGGCCGTTGAAGGTCATGGCAGGGCTACATCAGGTTTTTTTTCTTTTCCTCGTTTGACGCCCTCAAGGGCAGAGCCCTATAGTAGGCGTACAGTACATGCGGTAATTCTACTCGCAGGTGAGATCGGGCTCACGAGACGGGGGGCGGAACGTCGGCAACACAAATGGCCTGGGGGGCGCTGCATCGGGCTCGTAGTAGAAGCCTGAGAACACAACCGGTCCGTCTACCAACGCCTCCAGCTGGGTCAAATAGCGACTGGAGGTGTCGGGAATGTGAACTGCGGTAGCCCCCGAGACCCGCCCGAATCCGTAGTTCGCCCACGGTATCTCCGCCCACTCCAGACGGACGAGTTGCGTTCCTCGTGCCGAGCGATGCATGAGAACCCTCTTGAGCTGCGCGCAGTGCTTCTCCATCGCCTCCAGCAACCACACTCTGTCCGCTTCTGTGGGGAAATCCGGCGCTAAAACCCCCACCTCCGCGACGTCTACTGGGAACAGGACCCGCAGGACCCGCAAGTGGGGGCAGATTACCGCCGTGCCCAGCCCGGCGGCGACGTCGTCCGGCGACGTCAAGGTGTCCAGAAGAGCGTCAACGCAGGGACCGGCGATCTCGAGGTCCACGAGCTGCGGGAAGGCGCGGAGCAAGCTTCCCGTGTCTACGCCGCACGGAGCCCGAGACTTCAACCTCTCTTCAGAGGCGTCTTCATCCTCCTCCGAGTCGTCTTCGTCCTCTTCGGAGTCGTAATCCGAGTCGTAGTCCATGTCGGAGTCGTGGCGGTCGTTCTCCAAGTCGTCGTCCTCTTCCATGGGAACGTCCGGTGGCATCGGGTCAAGGCTGCCGTGGTATTCGTGGTCTCGACCGTCCGCAAAAGACATCTGGACAGAGAGGCGGGTGACCGCGGCATGTCCGCGGAAAAGCGCTCTCAGGGTAGCAGTCGACCGTGGTCCGCGCAGATGATGTGTCGCCGCGACCTTGAACTCTACACGCCGCGTCTTGCCCGTCCAACCTGTGAAGAGCATGCCTGGGTACATGCCGCTATATGACTGTGGGACCCAGTCCTGGAGGCTTACGACGTCAATGGTTTGCAGGAGGGACACGATGCCGGTGCTCCGCGAGTCGAACGCGTCCGAGAGCTCGAGTTCCCGCTGGTTTGAGTCAGACATCTGGATCTGGACAAATGCTGTGGGTGGGACCGAGATCGGTCCGAGGAGTTCGGCAACAAGGGGAAGGATGGCAACGATTTTGAGCGACCTGAGGGAGGGGAGGTCCACCGTTGTCACTGGATTCTCTTCGCGAATGAAGTCCTGGCAGTACCGCACAAAGAGCTTGAGGCGAACCAAGCCTGGACATCTTCCCAAAGCGGTGACGAGTTCGAGAGTTGGATCGCCGTCGAATATTGGTCCGATGATGTGAGCTGTGCGCAACGTGGGAAGCGCGAAGTACGAGAAGAGGCCGAGGTTGACGTGGAGCAAGGTGTGGAGGCGGGGGGCGACTGGCGTCCTCCCGGATGGGAGGTCACACCAAGTTCGAAAAGATGTGGAGGGCCAGTACATGCGTTCGGTGTTGACTCCGAATGCCTCCAGACGAGAGAAGCCGGAGGTGAATGCTTCGCAAAGCGCGATGAGCTCACTCGCTTGGGTCACAGCGACGTCGAGGTATACAAGTCTCTCAGACCATGTTTTGAGGGTGCCGGCGATTTCGACTGGAAGAGCATTATAGGTGAGGCAAAGAGGCTCTTGTGCGGTCCGCTTGAGGGTGCTTTGCACGTAGGCGAGCCTGCGTTCTTGTTTCATGCGGGATAGATGGGGCCACGTACAGAAATCGAGGAACGACTTTTCAGCAGCAGCGTTGGCCCAGAATCGCGGGGTCTTGAGCAGAAGAGTGCGCCAGTGTCTGCAGACAAGCATGATTTGCATACTACATCGCGAGCTTCCTCCGCAATGGGAGAATATCTCGGCAAGCATTTCGGTAGGGAGAGTGCGGTGTATGGGAGCCAGAGTGTTATGGAGGGT